GACGCCAAATAGGCTTTATGCCTCCTGTAAATCATCTGTTTGTTTTTATCATTGCTGTAGTGGAGAATCGTGTGTGTGTGGGGGAAATCAAACCACGAACGTGCAAATACAAGCCATCATAAAACAAAATACCGTTTATTAAGAATCCATCATATTTAACTTAGGAGAAGATGCGACTTCGACGTTTACCCGGCAATCGCAAAATACAGTCGAACGTTCTGTCCGTTAAGACTGAGAACGTTCTTATGTAACATACATCCTCCTTACTCCTCAGAAATAAAGCAAACAAACGAAACGCACGGGAGATACAGAATGGAAGCTGGATGTAAATTTCAAACGTACGCAACTCAGTGGTCGGAAGCATCTAGAACCAGAAAAAGCATTTCTACTAAGTATTCCTTAAAGGTAAAGGATTCCCTTGCTCAAAAGCCAGTTGAATCCGACGCTAGGGGTGCGGTGCTCATCTCCGGGTCCAAGCCGAAGACCCAGCACTGTCCAAAGACGTTTCCGTGGTCATGTGGCCGGCGTGACTAGACGCTGAGGCGCATGGAACGCTGTCACCTTCCCACCGAAGTGGTACCTATTTATCTACTTGCAATTTCTTGCTTTCAACTGCTCGGTTGGCAGGAGCTGGGGCCAGAGACGGGAGCTCACTCCGTCATGCAGCAACTCGGGTCTCGAACTGCTGAACTACCGACCTGACGGTCTGCAGCTCAGCGTCTTAACCATTGAGCCACCGCAGCCCTAAGTGTTCCTTAGCCATTCCAAAATCTACTAGCAAGCTTCCATTGGGGATATGTGGCTATCTGTTTACTGCAAAAATCCCACAGGGCGTTCCACAGGTGACACTGATTTTTTTAAAAAATTATGGAACTCCCGGAATTGCTTAAATTGCGGCGTGTAACTGAGTAACAAGCCTGTTCAATCTCAATTATTATTCTCAGACATTATTTTTTCATTTCATGTGATGGTACTGGTAGAAACCGCCATCCTGTTGCAACTGACTTATGGCAACCCCAAGACGGGAGATGAACAGAGGTGGTTTGCCATCGCCTCCTGCCTCCGCGTCATCACCCTGGACTTCCTTGGTGGTTTCTTCCCGCAAGTGCTCAGCTTCTGAGATCTGACAGAATTCGACTAGCCTGGGCCATCCGGGTCAACTACCTTAGTTTTATAATAGTACATTTCGTTTCCAAGCCTTGAGCATTTCTATCCCTTCAAACCCAGGCCGATATTAAGACTCCCAGCAGTTATGCAACACAACTCCATGCACAAGGCTTCTGCACCCCCTTCCTTGCAATCACGCCACAGAACAATCAAGACTTAAAAGGCAAGATGCAGCTTATATGATTAGAAACACTGCTGGAACGGCTGCATGGATGGGGTGGTGGAATTCTTCCAAAGCATGCTTAGGAAACTGGCTTGCAACATCCACTAGTGCGAATCAGTCACTTCTTGTCCTTCTGCAACTCAAAACATTTTTCATAGAAAAAAAAAATAAGGTGCATTTGAAAAGTCAACGGAGACGAACTCTGGGAAAGCACAGCTCAATGATCCATCCGTTTATTTTACCTTAAGTTAAAGGCGGACTAAGTACAGATACTGTACATTAAATATATGTGCTCCTAAGGAACACGCGCTTCTAGGCCTACGTTTTGAGGTCCGGTTTGTGTATTTCCCAGCGCCGGCCGGCGTCCGATGTCTGCTGCGGCGATGAGTCAGATGTAGAGGGAGCCGTCGGCGGGACCCACATAACCGACCCCGATGAGCAGCACGTCTATCAGGGTCCAAATCCCCAAGCCGCCGAAGCTGAAGAGCTTGCCCAGGCCCTCCCGCCACTGGCCCAAGTAGAAACGATCCGCTCCGAAGCCACCGAGGGTGATGCTGAAAACGTAACGCAGGAATGAGTTAGTGGCTGCATCGATCCGGGGGGCCCCCTTGCCATTTGTGATGCCAAAAGCAAAGCAATCTGAACGGAAAGGATACTGATACAAACCTCGGATAAAGAGCCTTGCTCTGCCTCTCTTTGATTACTGTGATTTTGGGCACCCTGTTTTAAATTTTATTGCTCAGAACGAAGACCATTTGGATCAGAATTGTGTTATAACTGTTTTACTATGTTGATTAATGGATACTGGATTATTTACTATGACCTCACACGTTTATGACAGCTTACTGTCACTGGTTTGTTTTTGTGTCCGATGTTAAATTTTCAACAAAAACCTTGGGGGAGGTGGAGAATATGTAAGACGATCAGTCCGAAATGCACCCGAGACTACGGCCCAAAAATTTTTGGAATTATTTAGGGTTGTGGCATTATATAATTCGTCCCATTGAATTCTAATGTAGCCATGCCTCCCTTTTTTTGATAAGTTGGTGCCGCTGATTCTGAAGTTTAAAATATTCTGGCGGCAACGTTGGGGCCTTTGAATTGCGGTAGTGACTATAAACTTTACGTAGTAAAAGTTTTTGCTTCTCTGCATTTTCTGTCAAGCCATGAGTGTATAGGGTTTACTCAGGGCTCTTTCTGTAGAAAAAGCCCAGCAGGAACTCATTAGCATAATAAACCATACCCAACACCAGAAACTCATTAGCATATTAGGCCACACCCCTCTTAGAACAGCTCATTAGCCCATTAGGCCACACACCCATGTTACCAGAAGTGTGGTTATCCAGCCACACCCACCTTTTGCTTGTTATTCTGTTTACCTTGTTTGTTGTCAAAACCCAGAGGGGTTTTTTTTTGTAGCAGGAACTCCTTTGCATGTTAGGCCACACACCCCTAATGAGGCCAATCCTAATGTGTTTCTGCTGTTGGGTGTGGCCTATTATGCTAATGAGTTCCTGCTGGCCGTGGCCAACTCAGGAGCCAGCTGAAACTCCGTTCCTGTGCGTTCCTGCCCAAAAATAGCCCTGGGTTTACTAAATTAGTTGTACCTCTGCCTGGGCTGATAACTCAGTGATTCAGAAATATGTGATATCAGAGAATTATAAACTGACAGAGAGGTAGTAGCGTCAGATGCACTTATGAGGACGGATCGACACTCTGCAGCAGAGCCGGATTTTAAGAGTTGTTGGGTTTTCCATACTATACGATCATTCCAAGGTCAGTCCACCTTAAATTAGAATCAGCATCACGCAAGGGGGGGGTGTCTGCGAGATGTGCGTGGGGGAATCCCATCTCCCCCCACGTTGCCAAGGCCATTGCAGCTCCGGGCCCCGCCGCCCACCTTTGAGCCCGGCCACAGCAGCCAGGTGTGGCACCCATCCTCACCCACCGCCCAATCTATTTTTAAAAACATTTTGAGTTTTTCTGCAGACCTGGGGGGGGGGGTCCCCCTATATTTGCGGGCAAAGCCTGTTCAGTGTCAGCAGTGGCCTCAATCTGCAGGTTTAGAGATCTGCAGAAAGGGGTGGCACACTGTCAGATATCCAGAACACGGGGGCGGGGGCACATGCATGAAATCAAGGTGTGTGGGAAGCCAAACGAACCCAGGGGGCAGAGCCACACGCAATGCCTCCCCTCCTCGTCTGCAAAACAATCGCCAAAGGGCAATAAAAAGAAATTAAGGGACGCCCGGGCGAAGGAAGGGGAAAAGAGAAGGGGGAAGAAAGAAGGAAAACCTAAAGGGGGAAGTGGAACCACAAGCCTTGGCGGTTTTCAGTCCTCTTGGTCCTCCAGCGGCTGCTGGCGCTCTTCTGCACCCACGGAAAAACAAACAAGCAAGCCCTGTCTTACAGAAGCCCTGCCCACTTTCTGCAAAGCCCTTAGGGGAAGTCCTGGTTGGGAACCCTGGTCTAGAGCACTGGCTATCAGAGCCCAGAACGACGATCAGGTAACAGGCAGGCTGGTGATCAGCTCTCTCGCTGGCTGACATACTCCTTTAATGTAAGGACAGAGTCTCCCAAAAACGTATCTCTCATTCTCAAGCATGACTTTTGGTAGAGGACTGTGTCCCTTTAATTAGCCATGCCTTTTGTGTTCTATAAAACTTTGCAAGGCTAAAGAGTGACTGAACGTGCTTTTCACTTTGGAGGAGGCTTGTAGCTCATCAAAAAATTTTTTTGCAGCGTTCATTGAAGAGAACTTTGGATTAAAACTTTGGGTAAGAACTTTTCACTTCTTTGAGACTCTGTCTAATATGAGATTACTAGCATTGTAACCAATTCTACAACAGGCTCCCCCGTGAGGGAGGTAGGGGCTGAGAGAGCGCCGAGAGAACTTGTGACTGACCCAAGGTCACCCAGCTGGCTGCATGCAGAGGAGTGCCAATCAGAAGAAGAAGAAGAAGAAGAGATTGGATTTATACCCCGCCCTTCACTACCCAAAGGTGTCTCAGAGCAGCTTACAAACTCCTTTCCCTTCCCCTCCCCACAAGAGACACCCTGTGAGCAGTGTTCCCTCTAAACTGAGTTAGTGCGAGCTGGCTCACAGTTTTTTAGCCTCTGGCCCACACATTTTTGTCTTTGCTCAGGAGGGACGGCTCCAGAGCAAACTAATTTATGCAGTAGCCAGATTGCTCGCTCCCGACTTTAATGCCAGTAGCTCACAAAGTAGAATCTTTGCTCTCAAGACTCCAAAACCACAGGTTAGAGGGAACATTGCCTGTGAGGTAGGTGGGGCTGAGAGAGCTCTGACAGAAACTGCTCCTTTTCAAGAACAGCTCTTGTCAGAACTATGGCTTGCCCAACGTCATCCA